TCTTTCCCTGATAAATAATGTCATTATAAATAGTGCATTGTCGCATGTTTTATGAGAGTACAAGATGACAGATTTTAAGCAACACATCTGTTTTGATGGAGGGTTATAAATATAAATAGAAATTGTTATGCTCTAAGAAAAATGGTTCTTTTTATGTTTTTCGAAGATAGTTTGTTTTGTACTGGTGCATAAAGTTCAGTGCAGTGCCAAATTACATGCAGACTCTGCTTGCTTTATCTTAAATATTTATTAAACCTGAGCATTGGACCTAGTGCTGCTTGTTTCCAGTTCTTCTAGAAACTGCATAGAAGTTCGTATTACTGATTATGTGTCTCAGCCACTGACATGAAAAGTTAGTAGGAAAACAAGTTCCTATTCAGGGCAAGAACTCTGAAAAATAACTAAAATTACATTATTTTTCTCAATATTTACTGGCTTAATGATCACTGTGTCAGATCTACTCTGTTCAGTAGTAAATAAGATTATATTTCTCTTCTGCCACCAGTTCTGCGGAAGCTAATATCTTCTTCTTACATGTTTGCATTGTTAAATGGTTTTGTTTGATCACCAGATTCACAGACCAAATGTCCATTTACATAGGTGTATTAACCCCCCTCCCTTCCTGAAAAATTACAGACTCAATTCCTCAGTGTAATTACTGTTTTAAATCTCTTTGCTATGCCATCCCTCTGCCCTCTTCCTACTGCAGCTCTGAAATTCAGGATAATGAATGCAAAGATTGGAGCATACATTTTAAAATCAGAAGAGTTCACAGTCGCATATGACCTTTCAGGAAAGGATTTAAACGATTTTTCCTGAAATGGATATTATTTAACCTTTCTTTTTGTTATCAGAAATAAGGGGGTTACATTTGACCAAGGTCTGACACCCCTAGGTCTTTCTCTGCTGGGCAGCTTTCCAACCACTCGTCCCCAAGCCTGTAGCGTTGCATGGGGTTGTTGTGACCCAAGTGCAGGACTCGGCACTTGGCCTTGTTGAACCTCATACAGTTGGTCTTGGCCCCTCAATCCAGCCTGTCCAGATCCCTCTGTAGAGCCTTCCTACCCTCCAGCAGATCAACACTCCCACCCTGCTCAGTGTCCTCTGCCGACTGACTGAGGGTGCACTCCATCCACTCATCCAGATCATTGACAAAGACATTAAACAGAACTGGCCCCAATATCGAACCCTGAGGAACACCACTGGTGACCGGCCCCAACTGGATTTAACTCCATTCACCACCACTCTTTGGGCCTGGCCATGCAGACAGTTTTTTGCCCAGTGAAGAGTACACCCATCCAAGCCATGAGCAGTCAGTTTCTCCAGGAGAATCCTGGGGGAAACATTGTCAAAGACTTTACTAGAGTCTAGGTAGTCAACATCCACAGCCTTTCCCTCACCCACTAAGCGGGTCACCTTGTCATAGAAGGAGATCGGGCTAGTCAAGCAGGACCTGCCTTTCATAAACCCATGCTGACTGGGCCTAATCACCTAGTTGTCCTGCACATGCCCTGTGATGGCACTCAAGATGATCTGCTCTATAAACTTCCCCAGCACCGAGGTCAGACTGACAGGCCTGTAGTTCCTCAGATGCGCCTTCTGGCCCTTCTTGTAGATTGGAGTCACATTTGCTAACTTTTAGTCAACTGGGTCCTCCCCATTTAGCCAGGACTGCTGATAAATGATGGAAAGTGGCTTGGTGAGCAGTTCCGTAAGCTCCCTCAGCACCTTTGTGTGGATCCCATCTGGCCCCATAGACTTGTGTGTGTCGCTGACCATTTCCCCTTGGATTATGGGCACTTCATTCCGCTCCCTATTCCTGTCTTCCAGCTCAGAGGTCTGGGTACCTGGAGAACTGGTCTTGCTACAAAGACTGTTTCTTACTAAGAAAGGCATTATAGGAAACATACTGAGGAGTTCTCATCTCTCTTTTCTCAATGAACATTGAAAATTTTTTCTTCTTCATTTTCTTCTTGCTTTTATCTCTTAACTGATGTCTCTGGTAACTCAGTTCTGTTTTCTACTGCCTGTTACTTCATCACCGATGTTGAATCAATCAGAATTGGACTGAAGGGCAATAGTGCATAAGGCAGAATAGCATCTCTCTTGGAGTTATGATGTCAAATGCAGTCAGACTTGATTTTACAGCATGATCATTCAGAAGAGTATAGTCTAATGAAGAGAGTACTGATCTATGACTCCAGCAGGTCTGGATTTAGTTACCTACTCTGTAGACAACAAATATCATTGGTGATTGAAATGTAGGACTGAGTATTTCTTAACTCTTCAATGGACTTCTATTCTCCAGTTTTGCAGTTCTCATCCCCAAATCCACAAGACTGTCAGATGCTATGCCTGCTTGTATATGAGTAAGTAAAACTGTGCCAAGGATTGCTATCAGGCACTGGGGCTGTCTCAACTGCACTACCAGTCAGTTAGAGAAACCCCTGTGTGGTGGGATCCTGTGCCAACTAGCACTGTCCAAAACAATGCCCAGTTCCCATCCACAATTTGAATCATAGAATCACAGAATGGTTTGGGTTGGAAGGGACCTTTAAAGGTCATTTAGTCCAACCTTCTTGCAATGGGCAGGGACATCTTCAACTAGATCAGGTTGCTCAGAGCCTCGTCCAACCTGACCATGAATATTTCCAGGGATGGGGCAGCTACCACCTCTCTGAGCAAACTGTGCCAGTGTTTCACCACCCTCATCACAAAAAATTTCTTCCTTGTATGTAGTCCGAATCTACCTTCTTCTAGTTTAATAACATTACCCCTGGTCCTATTGCAACAGGACCAGCTAAAATGTTTGTCCCCATCTTTCTTGTAAGCCCCCTTTAACTACTGGAAGGCTGCTCTAAGATCTCCCGGAGCCTTCTCTTCTCCAGGTTGAACAACCCCAACTCTCTCAGCTTGTCCTCACAGGAGAGATGCTCCAGCCCTTGGACCATCTTCGTGTCCTCCTCTGGACTCACTCCAACAGGTCCATGTCCTTCTTGTGCTGAGGATCCCAGAGCTGAAGGCAGTACTGCAGGGGGGGTCTCACCAGAGCGGAGCAGAGGGGCAGAATCCCCTCCCTCGACCTGCTGGTCACACTGCTTTGGATGCAGCCCAGGAAGCAGTTGGCTTTCTGGGCTCCAAGCACACATTGCCAGCTCATGTCCAGCTTTTCATCCACCAGTACCCCCAAGTCCTTCTCAGCAGGGCTGCTCTCAATCCCTTCATCCCCCAGCCTGTGTTGATACTGGGGATTACCCTGACCCAGGTGCAGGACCTTGCACTTGGCCTTGTTGAACCTCATAAGGTTCATGTGGGCCCACTTCTTGAGCTTGTCCAGGTCCAGATGAATGGCATCCCTTCCCTCAGGTGGGTTGCCTGCACCACTCAACTTGATGTCGTCTGTAAACTTGCACTCAATCCCACTGTCTATGTCACTAATGAAGATATTAAACAGTACTGATCCCAATACGGGCCCCTGAGGGACACCACTTGTCACTAATCTCCAGCTAGCCATTGAGCTGACAGATCAGTAGTTCCCGTGGTCCTCCTTTCCACCCTTTTTAAAAATGGGTGCAATGTTTCCCTTTTTCCAGTCACCAGGGACTTCATCTGACTGCCATGACTTTTCAAATATCGTGGAGAGTGGGTTGGCAACTACACCAGCCAGTTCCCTCAGGACTCTGGGTTGCATCTCATTGGGTCCCATAGACTTATGTAATTTCAGATTCCTCTGGTGGTCTCAAATCACTTTGAGAGCAGTGACTTCTTTGGAGGGTGAGTATGGTGTAGAAATGTTGTGATGTATGGCTATGTTGTTTCACCTGGCCCCAGTGACACAGAAAAGTCTGTTTCCTTACTACTGAGGGCATATTCAGCAGCTCTGAAGGGTGCATCTGGGTGGACTAGAGTAGGTAAATGCAGACTGCACCATAGTCCCTCTTTGAAATCTGCTGCATATTATATTATCCCATCGTTTTAGAGTGCTTCATAGCAGAGATTCCATCCTCTGATACATTCTGTAAAACAGATTAATGAGACCAAATAAATAATAATGAGTCTGCCACAGTAGTTAAGCCTCAGTTCAAAGTAATATCTTTCATCTTCAAGAAAATTTTTGGTAGAGCTGGAATAGTAAAGAGTCACAGTTCCAGGGTTCAGACTCTTTGATAATGAGACACAGAAGCAGTTTGCCATGGTTCATTAATAAACAGCTTTTTCATCATTGGTCCAGTGTTAGTGATTAAGCGATGTACTTATTCCTTGATTAAATGTTTTCTTCCAACTTGCCAAAGTTCTTGCAGGTTTCTAGCCATCATTGTCATATCTGCACTGTTCTCCAAGGAAATAATTTACCTGATTTTACAACTGAAATTTTCTATAATTCTAGAAACCCAGATGTTAAAAAACTCTTCCTCTCAGTCAGAATTCTTAGACTTGCTTTTGCTACTGTGAAAATTACAACCATATGCAAAACACAGGCAAAAAACTAGAAAGTATAGACCATTCTGCAGATAAAAATGAAGGACAAGTACATGGGTACTGCCCATTTTTTGTTTTGCTGAAATAAAAAACTCTCCTGAAGACATTTTGCTTTCCGAAAGACATCTGGTTTTATTGTGCTATCTGCAAATTAATTGAACAGCTTATAAAGAAACTGACATACTTGCTTATGTATCAAAATAGAGGAGTAATTTCTTCCCTTCTGCTTCTTTTCAGTATAGTGGGTTAGTTCCACGAGAGAGCTGGGATATGTGGCATCCAACCCTGGTGGCTGAGGCTTTGTTTGCAATCGCAAACATCTTTAGCTCCCTACGCTTGATCTCATTATTCACTGCAAATTCTCACCTGGGACCTCTGCAGATATCTCTAGGAAGAATGTTGCTGGACATTTTGAAGTTTCTCTTCATATATTGCCTTGTGCTGCTAGCTTTTGCAAATGGATTGAACCAGCTGTACTTCTACTATGAGACAAATGAACCCGGCAACTGCAAAGGAATACGATGTGAAAAGCAGAATAATGCATTTTCAACGTAAGTGGCTGATCTATTTATCGTTCCCCTCTGCTCCCAATATTTTAATCACTTTGATGTTGTTTACAGGAAAGAGGCTGTCTGTTTTCTGTTGGTATTACAGTAGTGTCCTGACAGATGCAGCTAAAGTTACCCTAATAAAAAAAAAAAAAAAAAATTAACATTACATCAGTCTGTAATAATGTTCATCCCATACCACAGTGAATTCTGTACAATTCAAGATACCTCAAAAGATAAAAAGATAAAATAAAGAAGAGGGGGAGATAATATGAGATTAGAAAGTACATATTAAGAATTAAGGGAAAAAAGGTCACCAGATCAAAGCTTGCTTATCCAGGCAGCTGTCGCTCTGCATTTCTTCCTTGTCTGGTTATGGTCATTAAATAAATTTGGTGTCCTAAAACATGAAGATTCCTTGTAAATATGATAAACTGATGCAGGAAAAAACATTGAGTCCAGGCTTCTACTGACTCTGAGTCTACTCCACACAGTCAAATACTATATTCTAATTTCTGTTGTAAAGTTTATTTATTTTTCTTTCACTTAAAAATCAGTTTTACTTCACTCTGTTCTGTAGTTCATCTATAGTACCAAAATACTACCAAATGAATATTAATTCTCTATCTCATCTTTCAACTTCCAATCTGAAGCAAACTCCTGCTATAAATTCCTGTTCTCTATTACCTTCTATGAATCATATCTAGGCTGTTTTTAAAATATATTTATTACCAATTGCTTCCTTCTCAAAGTGAATAATTTTGTAAGAATAGCACCTTTTGTATCATCTTAGTCAAGTAACTTTGCTCAGGCATGGTGCATTTATCGTGTGTATCAATAACATTGTATGCAGGTCTAAACTTCATGTGATCTGAACACAAAAGCACAGGAAATATTTCAGAGCTGAACATGGAGGGAAGCAATATTATTAATCTGGGAAACAGCGGGGACTGCTGGTACTAGTGCCAGAAGATGGTGTCAAGGCAAACTGTGACGCCTTTTGAGCCTTTTCTGCAAGTGAGAGCAGGGGGGAATAATGATTGTTCAATTTGTACTCAGACGAGTGTAAACCATATGAGAGACTCCAGAGCAGTACTTTACCACTTATATACACTGTATTACAGGAGCAGACATTCAGGACCTAGACTTTCTATAAGTAAAAACATAGTGCCCTCTCAGGTATCTCTGTAGGACTGCACTGTACTGGATTGCATGACAAAGTTACGTTTCACAGATGATACTGCATGGTGGGAAAAGGGCTGAAGGGTTAAGTTTTGCCCAGTTCTGGACAGTGGGTCCCAGTGTGCAGGGCTGCCCACGGTGGTACAAGTTCCCCCAGTTCAGCAGCCTCCCTCCTCCGGATGCAGTGGGGACAGCACTGGTGGCCCACACATCCTGTCCAGGTAACCTGCTTCTGGTGTCGGGGTGAAGGAACAGGAGAGAGGCCACGGGGAAAACTCACTCCAAGTAATCTCAAGATATGCGACCAGACAAGCAGAAAATTTTCCTCCAAACTTTTCAGGAGCAAAGGGTCTAACCAGGGCCTATGCTTATGCTGCTATAGTGTAGCTGAACATTGTACAAAAGTGAAATTCTGACAAGCTATCTAGTTGCAGAGGATTTTTTAAAAGTTAGTTATTGTTATTTCACTTCCTAGCTGTTGTCCCAAACTTCTCTAAGGGAATATCATATAATTTAGTTGTAAAAGCATGTTTCATTTGAGAGCGGTATGTTTGTCTTTTTAATGTCTCCATTCTTTGCAAAACAAAACATATGTTAATGATAATAATGTCTTTCTAATTATACAACTCCTTTTATCTCAATGACTCTCAACACAAACCAGAAATTGCATAAACTGACAACATGAAGTAGATACGAGGATAACACAATTATTTTAACATCTTAGTGAAACACAGTCATTGAGTTACTTTTGGATCCTTATTCTACCCTCTACAGTCAAAGCAAAGGGTGAACATACTTCAAAGGCAGGTGTCCAGAATAAGATCTCTAAAACTATATTTATCCTTCAGAAGTTTGAACAAAATCAGCCTTTTACTTGCAGACTTATTTATAGATTCAGTATTGTACCTCTAGAGGCTCATATTTGAAACATTAAGCCATTGTTTCCCTAGAAAGATACTCCATATATGTTGCCTATGTTGTGATAAGTATCATTCATCTCAATGAAGTCAAGGACTTTTGCGTGTTTGGAGAAAAACTGAACAATGTGAAAAGCACATGTATTGTTATACAGCTATTGCTTTTGGGTTTTGTTTTTCAGATTATTTGAAACGCTGCAGTCATTATTCTGGTCTATATTTGGACTCATCAATCTCTATGTGACCAATGTGAAAGCAAGGCATGAATTTACTGAATTTGTTGGGGCCACCATGTTTGGTACCTATAATGTAATCTCTCTGGTTGTTCTACTCAACATGCTAATAGCCATGATGAATAATTCTTACCAACTTATTGCTGTAAGTTGTTCTTTATCCTTAGATCATTTGTAACATATACCTTCTCTCTGTTCCTACATCCCATTTTTCTGGCAGTAAATCTTCTTTACAGACAGGATATTGGGACAGATTCTCTCATTTGTTCTCATTCTTTTACACTGTTCTGGAAGGACACAGAAACCAGACCCCATCTGGACTGGGCAGGGCAAATTTCCCCACAACTCTGAATGGGGCAGAGATGGCCCTGCTACAGAAGTCAGCTCATGAGTTGAGAAGGGTTTCCGAAAGCGGCTGGCAAGTGACATGGGCTACAGTCCAGGCCAAGCTGCACTGTGCAGGACCTCTTCTGAGAAAGAGATTCTACCAAAGATTGTTCTATTTCTGCTTTATTTTTAATACATTATATTTATTAACCTTTAAAAGGATGTTATTTTTGGATTTTTATATCATGGGAATATATAGTTAATAGAAATTGGATGCCCATGTTTCATGGACAATTTTGGACCCATTAGCAATTCAAACAAAAGGCCATGACTTCTCATTCAGCAGTGTCTTGTTTTCTCCTTTAATAAAAACTGTCTTTATCCTTATCAGAGCTATTGGCTTGTTTTCATTTTTCAGCTGTCTATTAAGGAGATTAATGAAAATAAACACTGATTCATCAAATGATAATTCAAATATGATCATGCAGAAAGCAAACAAATAAAAGAAAGCTTCACAGTCTTAAGATTTTGAAATGTACCTTTTTTCTAATCTGGAAATTACAAGTTTTCCACAAAAGAAATACTGACTACATCTGTTTATATAACACTATTTGGCAAAGTCTGGTATACAATATCACAACATACTAGCATTCATCAAAACTCAGACTGCAGGTGGAATACTTTTCCTACTACAACTTCTAAACTACTATTTTGGTTACTGTGTATCTGGCTAAAAATTAAAGGCTAGAGCTAGACCTGTAGTTTAAGTTCTTGACTACTATGTCTGTTCTTCAAATCTACTATTAGTGATTTAAACTTCCTGTTCAGCTGCTAGGTTTTAGCAATCTTTCCATGGACTTTTTTTTTGGGAATTTGGGAATTTCTGGGGCTGGCAATTACTAAGAGAGTGCGTGAGACTTACAGACTTTTAGCAATCTTTCCATGGACTTTTTTTTTTTTCCCAAACTTTTCAAAATTATACAATATTATATAGACCCCAAAAGAAATAAAATTTCAAATAAAAGTATTAAAAAATGCCTTACAACCTATTCCAAATTTATAATTCTGAAGTAGGAGGAAAAAAAGACGGTTGACTCAACAGTTTTAAGTAGCCACATTATTTGTTGGATAACATATTTGGGAATTTCTGGGGCTGGCAATTACTAAGAGAGTGCATGAGACTTACAGACTTGTTGAAGCTGCTACATAGCAGAGTAATTAGTGTGATCTATGTAGAGTAATGATGAGCTGCTATTATAACAAAACATCCCTTCCAGAAATGTAGTGTTTTTCTGCTTGTAATTATCCATCGTTGTTTGAGAGACTTTTAATTATTTAGAAGCCTGTAGCAAGAAAAGAAATGTTGAAAGTGGATATATACTGTACATATCTAGCGTCTCTTTACTGATTTACAGCAGTGTAGCTTTGCTTTGTGTTAAAGACCTTCTGTCAAAAGAAGATGCCAGTATTTTAACAAGAAAATTCATTAGTATTTCAGGGTTGTTCTAGTTTTAGGTTTTCAGATTTTTGTAGAGGTTTGTTTCACCTCCTTAATTACAGCAAGGTCTGTACTGGTGTTGTGTTTCTTGTGTGCAGGATCACGCAGACATTGAGTGGAAGTTTGCTCGAACAAAACTCTGGATGAGTTACTTTGAAGAAGGAGGAACTCTGCCCACTCCTTTTAACGTCATACCAAGCCCAAAGTCTTTGTGGTATCTGATCAAATGGTTATGGAGACACCTTTGCAAGAAAAAAATTAGAAGAAAGCCTGAAAGTTTTGGAACAATAGGGGTAAGTTCTGTGTAAATACTGTGTAAATACTGTGCATATGAGTTAGATAATAATTCTAGCAGAGAACATTTATTTTTTACATTCATGTCAATGTATTTGAAGAGAAAGCATCATCGTATTCCTGTGCAATGACAATATGAACCATGACTGTGCCTGATCTACAGATAATGCAAGAAAGATTAAAAGCAATACAAATACGAGAGATCAAATGTATATACTTGTCTACCAGTCCCAGAGGTGTGGTTGATGATCTCTAGCTCAGGTGTCAATTATCATTGACATGTCATGAATGACAAACTCATGCATAAAGTATTTGTCATGTCTCTGTCTCTGTCTCTCTATGTGTAATGAAATGGGTTCACCGTAAAAGCATTCTTACCAAAAGGCGTCCCCATTAAAGAAAACATTTTGAAAAGTAACAGAATTTACTTGGAATTGCTTATTTGAATTTACAGGTAGAGTTATTTCAGAATCACATTTCTACCCTATTCTAATAGTGCTGATTAGCAGTGAAATTTCTAGGAGAGAAGAGGGGAAAGACACACAAGTGGAGCAAGAATAGTTGTGCACCTGGATTCAGCAGTTGCCTGTGTAATATCTCAACCACAGACTTTCTCTGGTAGCTGTGGTGGTATATTTGAATTTGTCCCTCCTAGCTTTATCCAGTTGAGATACCTCAGTCAGCAGCCCAGTTTTTCTCTATCATCAGAGGAAATATCCAGGCAACAACCTAACCCCCTAACAACTAAATCTCTCTAGTTATGTTTTCTGCATTTCCCACAGCAAGCAAGTCAGTGGCTCAGTAACTAGACTGTATTTGGCTGATTCCAACATAGAGAAAACTATTGTGGGTAAAATGTGAATAATGGCACTTTCCCTGTAGCATAGGGATGTGAATATACAGGTTTTCTGTTAGGAACTCAGATAGCAAAGCATGAAGTGAGAGTATGAGAGCATTACGTGTGGGTAAGGGGAAGAAGGAAGGGTTACAGTCCTCATGGTGTTGACCCTGGTAGCAAAACTTCCATTTGTTTCAAAGAAACCAGGGGGTACAATACAATTCTTTGCTGGACCATTACTCTATAGACCTTTTCTTCGTACTTCCTCCCAGTTTCTTGAGAAGTGGGTAGTAAGGGTCAGCTTTTCCTACGTATTCTCCTGTTGTAACCTGGCATTCAGTTTAATTGTCAGATATGCTTGGAGAAAGAAGTTCACAGGCGTGTACAGATATCCAATAAAGAGGAAGAGTGACATACAAGATGAATTCACAATTCCTAAGCTGATGAATGGATTTTGTCCTCTTTGTGGAAAGCTTCTAATCAGGCTTATTGCAATATCCTGATCTTGTTGGCCAGTATCTACATTGTGAAAGCAAAACATGCTTTACTTAGCTGTCATAGTTGTAGATAGGAAAGAAACAGCCAGAAAAAGAAGCTAATAAGCATGAGGACAACGTTGAAATAAACCAGTAATAGACTAAAAGGAAGAAACACTGAAAAAATAAAATTAAGACATGAACTAGCATAAATGGTGAAGAATTTCAAGAAGAAAACATCACTATGTAACCTAGCAAGGGAAAGAATTAAATGCAGAGACCAACAAGAGGAAAAATTGTGAGATTTTGTGAGAAAGAGAAAATTAAGACAGTGATGTAGTTGTGTGTGGGGGAGAGTGGGCAATGCTTCTAGGCATTTGTTAAACATTTGGTAGGGATGATTAGCTAGTGTAAACTGATAGAGTGATATTAAAATTAATGGAGTGATGCCAGTGTATAACAGCTGAGGATCTAGGTTTGGTTAACACAATATCCCTGTTTGACTGACACAGATCAAGAATACCCTTATACCTCCCAGCAAAATTTCCAGGACAATATTTTTTGTCAGACTTTCCATTCAGGATGAGGGATTTTTCTTCCTTTTTCTCCCTCTCAAACTGCCTCTGGGAGTGAACTCATTCCTGGCTCTGTGGAAGAATAAAGAAAGAGACAGGGTGCTCTCAGCCCTGTGCTGAATGGCATGGTGAGGAAGGGGGTTCGGAAATATCATCCCCTGGTTCCTGCAGCTACCTCCTGCTGGTCCATAAATACCATCTTCTAAAAATTAGCAGCTTGGGTTTTGGAAAACTAGTGCAGCAAAGGGTCAAAGGACAGGGAGTCTATACACAGAGCTGATTGGGAATTTTTCCAAATAGAATTTTTTTTTTTTTTAATGAGAAAAGTACAAAATCCTTAAACCCCAAATTTTTTCATTAATATATACCAGTTTCAAAGAAACTTTTGTTGGGAAAGACTTTTCAGCTTCAGGATGGAATTTCTGTTTGGAGAGAGAAGGAACGGGTGCCAAGTAAAGCAAATAACTTGGGCTAAGGGAGACCCAGGTTCATTTCTATTCTCCAGTGGATATTTAATTATTTACCCCAAGCAGAACAGCTCTGACAGGAGAGATTTCCATCTCAAAATCATTAAGACCCTGGGGGTGAAAGGTGCTCTCTTGGGAGAACAGAAGAGATGGAACTGAACTTGGCTTCCTTATGATTTGAATGTGAACCACTAATTACTGAATTGCTTGAGAGTGGAGGGCATAGGCGAGGGACAGATGTAGGACATTTTTGGTTAATTTCTGTAGAGTAATTTTTTTACAAATTGTTTGATGAGAGAAAGTGGAAATCCTGAAGTCTGTGATAGGACCATATCCATTGCTAGTTTCCACTACAGAATAGGTACTTAGCTGCAAGTGTAACTGAAACCCCTCTGAAGCAGGGGGATCACCAGCAGAGCCATCATGGCAACAAGACTTCCAGCTGCCTGGAAAAAGTGAATGGCTGTGGCTGACCAGGCAGATTCAGTCCACGCATCTGTGCATCTCATAAAACTACAGAGTTCTTCAGCTAGCTCCTCAGCTATAAGAGAAGCCCCATTAGGGCTATCTGAATTTGAACATTTTGCAATTCCTAGGCTTGGTTATGCACCCAAGCTCCAAAATGGAATAAGATGTGGGTATGCACTATGCACTCTGATTTCCACATTAGGAAAATTTGTCCATACCCATCAGTGTGTGAGAGCCACTATTCTCTCCAGCAGTCGAGTCTACACATAGTTTGGGTCGATGTAAACCAAGCACTGTTAACTGGATTTTCCCCAAGAGGTTAAGTCGTCAGAGAAAAATGAGCACACCATGGTGATCTCATACTTTGTGCTGGTGGAATGCACTGCTTTCTGGTTTTGAAAAACTTATTCCGGTCACCCACAGCTCAGCCTTGGGTTCCCAGAACTTTTTCAATTGTCCCAACAAACTGCATCACAAATTAAATTTAGAACTTTTATGCCCTTTCAACCGAAGGGAAATGAAGAGTTTTCTCTGCCTTTTGTCTGGGGATCTCAGATGACAGCTCTCTGACTCCAGCTCACTGGAATCTGCCCTGTAATAACTCAGGCGTCAGGGCTACAAGATAAGCTTTGTTGGGACCTACTTCTTTTCACTGAGCCCTGCATTATGACCTCTGATTCCTGCCCTATGACCAGTACTGGGGAAAAAACACTGTAGATTCAGTTTCAGGCTCATTTTCTTACATTGGCTATATGGATGCCATGTTGTCTCTAAGGCAGAACTCAGATTTCAAAACATTTTGTTCTGAAATCTCTAAATGCTAAATTTCCTGTTAGGAAGCTCTAATCAGAGGGGATGTGCTATGGTGTTTTCCAGTAGAAAAAAGCAATAGTGTGCATCCAAAGGCTGAGTCAGTGCTGGAGGATACAAAACAGACAATAGACAGAATGGAGCTTGCTTGTTAAAGTCAGTATTTTTCAAGGGTCAGACATGATATCTGCATAAGAAATCTTAGTACCAAAAAGCCAGGAATCGTGAGCTAGGAATGAATCAAGGATATATTAAATGTGTCACCAACAATCCACTGTGAAAATGTACATACATGTACACTTGCAAGTTCATAATATACAGGCAGAAGTCGTAAAGAAAGGGTTCAGGGTCAGGATGGTTTACAGCAGACGTGCTAGTGAAAGGATTTATCTGGCTCATATGAAGAAGAAAAATGTCAGTAGAAATAAGTATGGTATGGTTGCTTGGGAGGACCATCTACAGTGCTGCTTGTAACAAAGTTATCATGGGAAAGAGCAGGGTCCGCAGGGAAGTGATGTGCCTCTGAAGAGAGCTGATTAATTTGCTTCTCCTTGGATGTCAGTTCTGCGGTTCTGCCATCCTTTGTTGTACTGGGACAGCTGAACCAGTGGGTGGTGGAGTCAAGGGGAGTTTTTTCAAGGGACAGGTTTTTCCTCCAAAGCAACCCGCTGCCCAGCCATGCTGATGGCAGCTTCTCTAGACACAGCTACAGCTGAAGGAAAGCCAGGATATTTACATGTGATTTACTACTACTTCATCTCTGGTATTAATCAGACAGAGATCTTCTGCCTTTCAGATTTCAGCACATTTTTATTTTCTGTCATTCTGACATATCCTGCATATGCAGCATTCTCTTTAGCTATTCTCACAAAGTATCTCCTACACTTAAAACTCTGAAATAACAGTGTGTGCTGTTCTTTATATATATATTAATAGCAGTTCTGTTAACTTTGTCAGCTCACCTTTGCAAAAGCCAGATTAGTAACGTAATTCTATTGATTAGGCAGAAGTTTTCCTGATTGCCCAAGGCCTTTGGGTGTCTCAAGGCTACTCCTGTTGGCCATCTGAAATCCATTGCTGTTTCAAAAAAGAAGAGATGTAAGAAAAGAAACCTCAATCCCACTGGAATAAATTGTACTGTCTCCCTCAAGTTACATTCCACTTTATGTCTGATCAGTCGCTGAAAATTGGTTTACCTATAATTTTAAGTATGTCAGAGGAGCAAATGGAAAGCATTGTCAGTAATCTTTTTTTTGTGTGCATCTGATATTTAGATAAACAGTTATCTCTTTCCTAGGTATCCAGATTTTTATGCAATTTTTCCAAGCAACCTACGCGATAATTATTACCATTTGTCAGAGAAAATCTCCCTTCCCCCTCTCCTATTCTTTGTTCTCCAAGTGGAAAATGATGCAAATCCTAAGTCAATATAAGTATTTTGTGTTTTCTTTGTAATGTGTGTTATTGAAAGTTGAGCGAAGAAATAACACCTTCCACCTGGAATGGAAATCAATAATCTGGAGTGTTTGTTCTATAGCCAAGGACCATCTCATGGGGAAACCTCTTTGTCAACTCAGATAAGTTCTTATCTTTTTTTTATGGGATGCTTCTATTCAAGACGAGGAATATACCCCATGACTTCAGACAATCTTTACATTTTCTGGACCTTTATCACTAAGCAGTTTGAGGTCAAATGCAGACATTAAATTTGAATTCCTGCTTTACAAAAGATACAATTTTGGTAAAACACTTCAAAAGGAGTAATTTAACATTATCAAATTTTTGAGTGCTAAAGAGATTTTTCTTCCAAACAATGCAAATTACTAGGAATGGCATAAGCAGAAAGACCAAAATAATTATCACTACTGGTAGAACTACTGTTAAGCTTCCTAAAGGATATTAGTGCCCCGTTGGAAAATGATAAAATTATCCCCTTCAATTTCATGATTTCATACAACATTGTCATCAGAAGAATGTTTCTTCACCTGTTGCTATTTTTAGTCAGATTTCACTTATCGCTTTGTTAGTCATTATTTTCAACACTTCTTCATGCATAGCGGGTACTTGCAGCAAATTTTGAACAACAGTAAATTAGACTATGACCAGGTAGAGAAAAGCAGGCTGGCTGGGAACTAAATAAGGACAATGTGAGTGTTAATGTCATTTTATTTACAGTGAATAGCTTGCTTGTCAGATGTGTTTAAGCAAAGATTCGTTCTGCTTTTGGAAGGAATAAAAAGATGATTATGAACTGGAGACTGAATCTGAGCATTTAAACAGGAGCTAGAGAACTGATGGGGGTAATAACTTTGATAGGTTATTTGTATGCGTAATTCCCTGGGCAGTATGTATGTGTCTGTGTATGAAAACGCACAATTAAAGGCCTTTTCTTTCAGCTTCTCAGTAGTATGGATTGAAAATTATTGTTAAATGCAGTAGAACTGTTCTGGACATGTTACTACACAAATAAATTTGTTTACATAGTCATCTCAAGTTGCACTTGTTGACACTGTCGGATGGAAAAGCCACAGCCTCTGCTTCTGGGAGTTTCAAAATCAGTTGCAAAAAAGGGTAAACTTGATTTAGCTATTTCTTAGTATGGATACAGAATTAAGCCTGTGCATTTACTTCACATTTCACTGTAAAATAATGCAGAACAGACAGCAACTGCAGAACATATTCTGCGAGACAAGAGTCAACGTTTGTTTCATTTATACAAGTTATTAGCTTTACCTGAACTGAAGTGCATTTCAATTACACCTTAAAGTGTTTTTCCTTTTACCTGTGAGTCAGATCTGTTGTTGGTAGCCCTCTTACCCACGGACTCCCTTAGTGCTCTCTCAGCAGAAATGAAACATCTCCATCGTGTGGTCAATTGTGAAAAATTAGATTTTTTTTTCTAAAAACCAACTAAAGACGAGTGTTGGGAGGGTATCAGCCTTCCCATGGCTGCCTTGCCTCCTCCGGCCACAGCAGTGAGCAGGCTCACTTGTCCATCCACCCTTAAACACAGGAATTTCCATCTTCTCTTTGGATGAGGCATATACAGAAACATGATCTGGAAAAATACTGAAGACAAGAATTTTATTTATAAAGCCCTACCCCACAAGTGGCTGTTCAGAGCGATTAGGAAATAATGATTTTCCCCTTTCTATTATTTTTTGCCAAGCCCAACCACACAGCTACTGCATCCCTCAAATTAATTACGAACAGGAAATCAACTCTAAAGTGTAAACTGATTCAGAGTACAGGGAAATGTTAATCATAAATTGCCAATCAGTTTCAAGTAAAAGATGACAAAAATACCTTACTGTGCCTGCCTCATTATGCAACTGAGGTCAATTTTAACAAGTCCCTTGGATGTCCTTTTATCCTGTTTTAAGATGCTGTAAGTGTTCTGTTTTGTAGAAATACAATCAATGGTCAGACACCTTCTTTTCTTGCCAGCAGCAGATATAAGACCCAAGTTAAAATTATCAGTCTTTCTTTCACCGGTCAGGGATAATTAAGGTAGAGAATGAACATGACTCAGTATACTATTGAGGACAACAGTAATTGAAGGACTGGGTAATTCAGGTCTTTTTTTCCAATCTTCGTCTGGACAGCCCTTAGATATGACAGTATAATCTAATGCAACCGTTGCTTGAAGCCTGTACCATGCTTTAATCCTACCACACTTCTCTTTGCTGTTCTTCAGAGTTGCTATCCCTCTTACCCTCCCTCCTTATCAACACCGAACTCTACATTGCAAGCTACGTTTCTTTCTTCCATACCCCTCTCTGAGGTCACGTGTTTTTAACAGGGAACTAAGCAGGAATTTTTCTCTTTAATAAACCTAGTACAGGTTTTGGTTAGCTCTGTCTTAAATAAGACATTAGAAGCCGTAGCAAGTGTCAAGCTTTTCTCAATTCAGTAAAATGTGATTCAGTCTGTGTGAGTGAGTGACATGATCACATTGTTCCCCTTCTGTCTCGGATTACTGACTTTGGGGCTCTGCAAGCAGAGACCTGGCTGCCCCACCACATCCATACCAATGCAGGAATAGCAAGCAGTACATTGATGAAAATGTAGGAAAACCACTTTACCTTCCCAATAAGAACATTCTCCCTTCGGTAAAGCTAATGACAGGCTTTGCTCCAACACTGCCATTTTTCAACAGACTTTAAACCATGTCTCTTAGCTTGCTAGATACCACATATTGCACAGATGCTGGTTTGCTATGCTGTAAGTATTTTACCACCAGACAGGGATTCATGGTTTTTTGTTCTTCTGTTTTCTTTTTTTTTCAGAGGCGTGCAGCTGACAATCTGAGAAGACATCATCAATACCAGGTACAGGCCCATATTTTTGGGGGGGGCAATTATTTTTCTATGACTCCAAAAGGTCTTCATGAGGGGAAAATAAAAAGGAAGAATTTCATGACAAAGCAAGAAAAGAAAAAAAAAACCACAAAATGCATACTTCTTTCATCCTCAGCAAATAAGCATAGTATTTTTGGTGTTCAAACAACAACATTTGAGAAGTAGGGTTGTCTGTTTTGGGTTGCAAAAGGATATTTCCTACAGCAATAATATCCTAACCAGTATTTTGCCGAGTGTATCATCAACTGCCTTTAAAAAAGCAAACACATAGTCCCAGCTCCCTGCTGGGTTTCATCAGGATCATATGTGCAGCTCACTGACGTGCTCCATCAGAACGTGCTCTCCATCTCTGCGGCTCCAATCCCCCATAGACAGCTTCTTGTCCCTTAATAACCCCTCTGCCTGGATCCCCTGTAAGCTGTTCTTCTTCTCCATCCTCTCCACTTCAGCCTCGGGTTTTTTGAGATTATTGTAGCACAAGGAATAATTTTCAGATTTATTTTCAATTTTTATTTTGATAAAAGGGCTGCAAGTTAAACAAGATGTGGGCTGTAGACTTGGAGGTTTGGTAATTTATGTATTCCATGTCGGAAATGACTGGGTAAACTAGGACTTTTCCAACCTGAAAAAGAGACAGCTGTGGGAAGTGCAACAGGGATCTATAAAATCACGGGAAAGGTGAACACAGAGCAGCTGTTTGCCATCTATCTGCAAACTGAATACCAGACAAGTTCTCCACTGCATTAGTAAGACTGTAGGCAGCACTTTGAGCAAAGTGATTGTTCTCCTCCAGCCCACACTTGTAGGACTGTGTCTGGAGCAGTGTGTCCTGTTTTGGACCCCCCACCACAAGAGAGATGTTAGCAAACTGGAAGGAAGCCAGAAAAGGACCACCAAGATGGTTAGAGGGCTGACATAAAAGGAAAAGCTCAGATTTCAGCCTGGAGTAGGTGAAGGGCGATCTAATTGCTGTCTTCAGTAACATAGTGGGTGGTTAGAGAGAAGAAGCAGCCAGATTTTTCTTGGAGGTGCACAGCAAAAGAATAGGAGTCAATGACCACAAGTTGCAGGAAGGGAAATTCTGTAAGGAAAATCATCATCACAGTGGGGGTAGTAAAAAATTGGAAAAAGTTGCTCAAGGAGGCTACAGCATCTTGACCCTTGGAAATATTCAACACTTGACTGGACATGGCCCTGGGCTGGATCAGACAGCCTCCAGGCATCTCTTCCAACCTAAATAATTTTAGGATTCTTAGAAGTAGAAGGCAAAAACGGAGACTATTAGAGAGCAGGTTAAAAATAAACAAAACCCCAAATAGAATCTTATTCCAGCTATACTGTGGAATACACTGGCAGAGAATATGTTGATGCTGAAAGTTTACATGAGTTCAAAACTGATAGCAAATCCTGTTACAGCCCGTTAAACCTTGAGCTATCGTTTCTGGTTCAGAAAGTCTCTGAATCTTATATCGCAGGAGGCTTGGGAGAGTATTGCTGGAAATAACATTACACAACCACACAGACTTACATTCCTCACGAGGCATCAGCAACTGCTCACTCTCAGGCTGCATGTTACTGCCATGAGACGTTCCTTTGGTCAAACCCAATACAGACCTTCTCAGGATAATTAATATCAGCACTTTCCATTGAAAAGCAGAACAGATTTTCAACTAGATCTAAGGTTTGTACATTTTTTGTCATGTTCCTAAAGCACAATGAAATCCAAGCAGGCCCAATGAGTGTAGGTTTAATAACTAATACCAAGAAAACTAACACAATGTTTTATATTTTTAGGAAGTTATGAGAAATCTGGTTAAGAGATATGTTGCAGCGATGATAAGAGATGCCAAAACTGAGGAAGGACTGACAGAAGAAAATTTTAAGGTATACATTTATTCATATGTTTATAGGTGTTTTAGTAAGGTATTGTACGACTGTGAAGCATATTTCTCATACTCCTCAGTTGATCAGGTAGCATATAACTTGCTTCCTGGGACAGTGTCTGTGTCCTGATGGACCACACAGCGATAGTATTATACATGGACTCCAGCGAGCCTTTGTCTTTCTTTAGCTGGATGAATAATCAGTTTTAACAGCTAGTTTGAATTATGCCCATGTAAGGGGACAGCAAAGTGGGACAAAGTGTGTATAAAAATGTATTTACTAAAGCAAGATGCAAATAGTTTCAGCACCTTAGGAAATAGAGGTTTTCTGCTATAGAGTGCTGTTGTGCATTTATTTGTGTATAGAATGCCTTTTATATGACTTGAAAGATGGAAAACTTAAATAAGCAGTCAAATATTAAAATACTTTGACACAGATTAATTGAACAGGACCATATATATCACAATGCTTATATCCATGACTGTGTATTTCAGGAATCAAACATTTTTGTTATCGATGTCTGAAACTCCAAACATTCAAGATTATATTCATCTGCCTTAGCTTACACACAAAGAAGATACAGCCAGAGCCTGAGCTAATTGCTTCATTATTGCTTGATTCAGATCATCTTGAGTGCCATCACAGGGCACATACAGGGCAACCGAGTGATCAGGCCCAGTCAGAATGAGTTTATGAAAGGCAAGCTGTGCTTGTCTAACCTGTTCTTCTTGAAGGCAAGCTGTGCTTGTCTAACCTGTTCTCCTTGTATGACAAGGTGACCAGCTTAGTGGGTGAGGGAAAGGCTGTGGAT